AAATTCTTCACATAGCTGATTGATGTTATATGTGCGCAAATTAATTAAAACTGTGAAATTATTTCATTTCATACTGATGAAATCAAATAATATTAAAACTTTGAGTCATCGATAACTCGCAACTAAAACGACTTTCCCAATCACCCCGTAAATATCGATAAAAAACGTACAAGTATGTGTCGCAGTAGAAAATGGAAGTTTCCTTATTTGGTGATTAAAAACAAAAATCCTTTGCATTTACATCTGCACATGCGTCTTCAATCATCTATAAGCATCCATTTTTTTTTTCTAATTTTCTTTTCAATTCTCTTTCTTATGTTTTTCGAGGAAGTTCTTGATTTTCGCGAAAACTCGCCGGCGTTATTTGCTACAAATATTAACCCAGCATATCACCAGGACAGTAATGAAAAATAATTTTCTTTTCTTTTCTTTCCTGCTACTTTCCATATCATAATACAGGTATTGTATCATTGTCTTTCTTTCGTGTTTATTTTTCTTGTGATTTTTAAATATCTCTGTTTCTTACCTAACCTCCACCTCATGTTCATCCTCATTCTTCCCCACACGTATCTGTGGCACGCGCCGAGAAATGACTTTAAGAGATTTTTCACTCCACAACTGCCACCACGCTTGTATTCTGTTTGTCTCACTTTCTCTGTCTCTCAGCGTTTCTTTGATGGTGAGATTGGCAGACCACTATCATGCGGAAGTGATGAACAAACTTCGACTGAGAATTATTCATTGAGGAAATTAAAAACGCGCGTAGCGCATTGTCGCACTGAAAGAAAGAAAAAAGAAAGAAAGAAAAAAAAGAAAGAAATAAAGAAAGAAACAGAAGAACCAAAGACAGGAAATGAAGGAAAGCGACGAAGATTTAGATAGGGAGAAAGATAAAGAACAGGAAAAGTGGGAGGCTAAAAAGAAGTAGCTTGGTAGAGTGATGTCGGCTCTCGAAAGAGAACCAAAAATGACAAGCGACATCTAGCGGCAGACAAATGAACGAACCGACGAAGAATAGAATGTTATCGGTTTTCGATTTCGACTGAAAATTTATTATCCTGACCAGTTATAAATGGTCTTTTTGGCTTGTGTATCAAACTGTATGTAACGAAAAATAGGATGTGGGTAGAGTAGAGGGTAATGAAAGGAAGGAGCGAAAATAGAAAGATGGAAAGATGGAATAGATGGAATTGGAATAAGACTGGGGATCAGACGAAAAAAAAGCATTGACACGATGAAAAAGATAAATGAAAAAAAATAGCAACCTGAGAAATTAATGTGAATTGAGAAATTAAAGATAGATATGGATAGAAAAACAGACAGATAGGTAGGTAGGTAGGTAGGTAGGTAGGTAGATAGATGGATATGAACAGAAAGATATGGATAGATATAAACAGAAAGGTATAGATAGATATGAACAGAAATAGATAGATAGATAGATAGATATGAACAGAAAGGCACAGATAAATATGAACAGAAAGGTGTATATATATATATATACATATATGTATATATATATATAGATAGATAGATAGATAGATAGATAGATAGATAGATAGATAGATAAAACAGAAAGACATAGATAGAAACAGAAAGGTGTAGATAGATATGAGCTGAAATAGATAGATACATACAGGAAGAAATAGATAGATAGATAGATAGATAGATAGATAGATAGATAGATAGATAGATATGAATAGAAAGGCAGATAGGTAGATAACGAGAAGTTGAATAAAATTAAAACTAAGAGGATATCGAAAGAAAACAAAGTGGCGTGTATGGAAGAGAAACATCGACAAGGCAGATAAAATAAGAAAAGAAAATGATTGGAATAAAACGAGAAAGAAAAAAAAGGCAGGAGAAACTAAATAAATAAAAACAGTAGTAAATCTGAAGAAAGGAAGACGAACATAGCTAATAAAAGCGGAACGAAAACAAATCAAAATAGAAATAAAAAGAAAAGGTAACAATTAAAAACAGAAAACAGATTATGTGAGTGAAACGCGATGAGAAGTAAAGTCTACGAGGAAGTGAAGGAAAATGTTTTTTGAAATATTCACACAAATAATAAAAATAGAAATAAAAAAAGAAAACGAAGAAAGAGAAAGAAAAAGAAAATTAGAAGAAAAAGAAAATTAGAAGAAAAAGAAAAAATAGCGGGAAAATGTGCGAAAGTTGTGTCCGCTTTTTGATTTTTGTTTCTTAAAAAAAAAGAAAAAGAAAAATGTGTCGTCAAAAGTTGAACTGTCACAGGAAGATGGAGAGCACTTTATCAACGCGGTATTTAGTGAAATGATGAAGTCCACCCGGCGGGACAAACTTATTTATATTTAATATCGACTTACAGTGTCTCGACAATTCATTATCCCCTGGGGAACAGCTCTCACCACGATCTCGTCAGTCAACTGACCTTTTCTTTCGAGCATCCATTGCATTATCTTTGCTCTTCTTCCTTGCTCGAAATTTTTCTTTCTATCTCTTGCCTTTTCTTTCTTTCTTTCTTTCTTTCTTTCTTTCTTTCTTTCTTTCTTTCTTTCTTAACATCGTTTATTACTTTATTCTTTGCCATCTTTTCATTCCGCATTATTTAATTTTGATAAGACTCGAGCCTTTTTGTGTTATTTTCTGTGATATAATTCTAAGATGTGGCTTGGCTTGGAGATGGGATCTAGAAATTAAAAAAAAAAAGAAAAGAAAAAAAAAACTTCCAAAAAACAAAAACACAATGGCTTCCCATTTATTCAATATCACACTTCCTTGGTGACCTCAACATGGTTGTCATAGTTTTCAAAGACCGGGGAAAACAAGAATTAATAAAAAGAAAAAAAAGAAAAAAGGTAAGAAAAAACCGGAGTGAGTGCCAAAGAGAGTCACGCGTTTGAAATGACAAAGAGAGCGGAGGAGAGAGAGAGAGAGAGAGAGAGAGAGAGAGAGAGAGAGAGAGGAGGAGGAGGAGGGAGGGAAATAAATTTTAAGAAGGAGAAAATTAAAGAAGAATAAAGCCGAAGAAAAAATGAAGAGAAGAAAGCAAGAAAACTACAGAAGTGAAAGAGAAAAACAAAGAAGAGAAAAAAGAAATGAGGAAATGCATATGGAACAATATAGAAAACATGAACAGACACAGAGATAGATAGATAGATAGATAGATAGATAGAGAGAGAGAGAGAGAGGGGGAATTATAGGAAAAAGACATAAAATGTGGAATAAAAAAGAAAAGAAAGAAAGAGAGGAAAATACAAGAGAGAGAGAGAGAGAGAGAGAGAGAGAGAGAGAGGAATAAGAAAAGACAGTTGGAAGAAAAGTAGAGAAGAATGAAGAGGGAAAAGGAAGGAGGTGGAAAGAGAGAGAGAGAGAGAAAGAGAGGAGAAGGAAAGAAGTAAAACACGAAGGAAAAAGAGAAAAAAAATTGGAAAAGAATCTGGTTGTGCTGGAAAGATTTTACAAGCACATTAACGGTATTCTGGTCAACCTCGCACGTCTCTGTAAATTTTTTTTTTTTAATTTTTAATTTGGTTTAAAATATTGGGTCTTATGGCCATATCGTGTCAAAACAACAGTTCTTGTACGATCACCGAAGTTAAGCAACGTCAAGTCTGATCAGAACTTAGATTGGTGACCGCTTGGGAATATCAGATGCTGTAAGGTTGTAGGTGCGGGTAGGTGTAATGGATAAGAGATAGGAATTGTTAATCGGAGAGCCGAGTTCAAATTACCGTTGGCTTCCTTGTATTCACTTACCCTAATACCCTTGGGAAAGGTAAGAATCCAACCCTTCTCCTTCCAGATATGTGTTAAATAGTTTCATCATTAAATCATTATTATCTCCAAAATTCTTGCAATCGATAAATATTTTCTGCCTTTAAATAATCTGAAAGTTATCAAGTTTTAGAGAAAATGGAAACAAAACGAACACATACTTAGAATCAGAAAAAAAAGACAGTTGAAATTTTTATGGTACATGATAAGGAAAGAAGGTTTAGAAAATTTAACACTCGCAGGACATATTCAAGACAAGACAACATTGCTAAAAACTACAAATGAGAGGAAATTGTGTAGAGCCATGTGAAAGGAGCACACGACATAGAAGAAGATCTAGCAAATCTAGCAGTGCTCAATACAAAGAAGTCAAAATAAGTAAACTAATTGAGAAACTATTATAGACTTGTGCATTTATGCTTTCGATAAATAGTAGTTCTATTGATGAAGCCTTTATATATATATATATATATATATATATATATATATATATATATATATATATATAAAAGTTATGAAGAACTTGGTAATCCGTTTGGGTAATCCCAAGGAGGAGGAAATCCTGAGAGGTCAATGTAAATCCAGAGCTAATATTTTAAAGAAAAACAGACCACTTTAAGGTACCATTATGATAATTTATTTCACCAGAGCCCTTTTAAAGGACGCCGGATCATCAGATAGCACTTCCATTTCATTTTTGGAAGTGCTATCTGATGATCCGGCGTCCTTTAAAAGGGCTCTGGTGAAATAAATTATCATAATGGTACCTTAAAGTGGTCTGTTTTTCTTAATTAATATATATATATATATATATATATATATATATATATATATATATATGAAGAGTGTTCCAATAATTTGGACCGATTTTAAATGTGAATTAAGTTTAAGCGTCTAACGATTTTTTTCTTTTTCTTTCAGATTTAACAATTTAAGTCTTTGGCAATTTCAAACCATGGAAAGATTAACAATCAAACAACGTGTTAAAGTTATCGAAGCCTATTGCAAAATAAATAAATTTTCACCAATAACATTGATTTATTTACTGCTGACTTTGATCCGTCTTAATGAAACACCTTTTATATATGTGTGTGTATTAATTGGAGGATCTGTGTTTTATGCTTTATCAACCTTTTGCGGGTTATTTAAAACCAGAGTATATTTTGGGGATTGTAAGAATTTGGTGGTGGTGGGGGGTTTGATAATAATGATTTACTGATTCAACTTCTACAATAGAACCAGAGGGAAGAAGAGATAGATTCATACGTTTCCCAAGAGTATTTGCTAGCATGTGAATATAATGAAACCGACTGGAATTAGAACCCGACTCTCCGGTTTCCAATTCTGAGCCTTAATCCATTTCACCACTCGCACATCAAGGATTACAGCACCTTTTATTTCCAAGCGGTAACCCATCTAGGTACTGACCAAGCAAGACGTTGCTTAACTTCGATGATCGAACAAAAACCGGGATTAAAAAAAGATAGCATAAAGACAAACACCACTAATGAGAGGAAGTTGTGGAGAGCCATGATCGCACATGTCCTGAAGAGGAACTGCACATAGAAGAAGATCCGAAAGCAAATCTTGGATGGGAACCGGTACAACAAAGAAATACAACAAACGCCGGTTACAATTTTACATTGAGAAGCGCTAAAAATACAGCTTAGCTTTAAATTTTTTCAATTTTTGGCGTCCGATATATCAATATGCATGTTGACTTCAATCATTTTTCTACCGCTTTAGTTTTTATTTTAATTTTTTTAATCACCAGTGTTTTGAAATAGGCTGAATTTAAAAGCGGTAGTTTTCTTAGGATAATAGATATGTAGTAAGATCGATAAATACATATAGCGAGACTGTATAGTAATTGGCCGTGGTTAAATGTATTTGGCAGAAATGCCCAACAAACAGAAATAACAAAGTTTGTAATAAACAATAACAAAAGAAAGAAAAGAACAGCGCAAAAATAATACTAAGCAAACAATATATTTAAGACAAAAGTAGGCAAAGCAAGAGTAATGAGGCAAAAAGTTCACAAACTAAGAATGGTGTTAACACAAAAAAAAGGGATACCGACAAGTGATCGCAGCATTCTGATTTCATGATCAGAAAGAAAAGAACAAAGTCGGATGAGAGCGAAAAGTGGCCTGTCTTTTTGATTAGAAAGAAATCCCTGTATACATCTGTATATTTTTTCTATAAAGTTTGGGTGGAGGATGTTTTTGCAATCATTCCTAAAGGGATTTACAATCATGGGGTATTATTAGGTCCTCCGTGAAAATGTTTTATTTTGGTACTTGAATGGAGACGGATCAGTTCTTGTGGTGATTGTCATTTTGTTACAGTGGATGGGGTCGTGAATCGGATTAGCTAAGACAGTTTTGACCAGACATTCTGACTCCCGCCTCGGAACAGTAGAGGCAAAAATATTCATAACCTAAGAATGGTGTTAATACAAAAAAAGGGATACAGACAAGTGATCGCAACATTCTGACTTTATGACGAGAAAGAAAAGAACGAAGTCGGATGAGAGTGAGAAGTGGCTTATCTTATTGGTTAGAAAGAAATTCCAGCATACATCTGTATGTTTTGTCTATAAATTTGAGGAGGGGGATATTTTGTAATCATTCTCTATTTGATTATTGTGGTACATGTAGGATGGAAAGGTGATGGACAAGTTCTTGTGGTGATTGAGTATATTGTATTGAATAAATACGTCGTCATTGTGTTTAGCTAGGACTAGGATAGTCAGTGAAGAGCAGCCATTATCCCACTTCCCCTTCGGACTCTTGCCACAATTTTGTAATTTTACAAAATAAATATACATTCCTTATTGGATTGGAAGCAATTGAGACAGATCGATGTTAGTCAAATGTGTTAAAAGTTTGCGAAAATAAACGACTTAAAATTTCAAGCAAGTCAAAAAGATCGACAGAACTTCTTTTGGTTCTAATACTGATGTATTTACTAAATACTAATACTGATGCATTTACTAAATACTAATACTGATGCATTTACTAAATACTAATACTGATGTATTTACTAAATGTTTCTTTTCTTTTAAATAGTTGCCCTAAAATGCAATTATATTCATAATTTTAGCAGCTTATTTAATAATTTCATTTGGCTGAAAGTGTAAAATACGAAAGAACGTACCTTTTACACACATATACGCGCGTGTGTGTGTGTGTGTGTGTGTGTGTGTGTGTGTGCAAACAATTTTTAATAAATTCCACCGACAATTTTAGTATGTTTTAATTTTTATTGCGATTTTGAATTTTTCAAATAAGTCAGCCGGCAATCTTCGTTTGTCATTGCAAACGTTAAAACACAAACACTCACATCACACACACACACACGTAGAAACACGTAGAGACATACACACACGTACACACATCCACCTACATATTTATTTGCAAGCAGAGACCTACATTGATTTATACACAATTCCGATGTATCCATCCATTTTCCTCGGCTTAAATTAATATTACTTAAGAATATAGCCATTTAGAACTGCACGCAACGGATATACCAATCTAAGTATTTTGGAGGTATATACAATAACATCACAGAATATATAAAAACCTATTTAACCACTGTAACATTTAATAGAAAGGAATCATATTAAATAAAATGAGGTCTGGTTTGGTTAATGGAATATCCAATACTAATAAATAGAGAAGACTTAAGAAAGAAAGTGAAAAAAACAAACAAAAAAAACATCAAAAAACAGTATAAATTTTTTTAAAAAAGACTGTCACGGAAAAAAAACCCAACTAAAAAGCAGAAACATACAAGAGAATTAAAAAAAAAAGGTGTAATAAAAAAAAAGAGTGTACTAAGGGATTTATTGAAAAGATCTCGGACCAACCTACTTTGCAAAATCTGACCAAATGACTAACATCGTATTTTTGTAGTTTTTGGAATGGTTTATTAGGAAAGTTATGAATCCTCTTCTTCTCCCCCCCCCCCAGCTATGGGTAAATAGCAGGACAGACCGAATTCCATATCATTGGACGGCAACTGGTCTACCGCCGAAAGAAATGACAACCTACTGCAGGAAAAAATATGCCTCGTCAGTCATGTATCGAAAAATACATGATCACCTAAGCGTGTATCACACATGGCACATAACTAACTTATTGGTCCGGCTGAGAACTTTTCTGCACACATTCGTAAAGATGTATTCATTTTGTTCAGCAGTACATAGTGTCTTAAATTTCATCCTTACGTATGAATCAATGGAGACCTAAATTCTTGTCTAATAATCGATGCTATGTTTGGTAGCCTTTTCTAGAGCTTTCGATGCTATTATTTACTACGGAATTTTGATTGATTGAAAGGAAAATAGATTGAGAGAAGATCAGTGAGATGAACAAATGATAAATAAAACATGAAATATGAGTCAAAAGCTGTGGGATAATAAAGAGAAAAGTGTGGAAGATGCCTAGCAAATCAGATAGATAGATAAAAGGAGAGAGATGGAGTTTAGAAATAGAATTGATAAAAAGAGAGTTAAGACAATAATAGATATTAAGAAGCAGAAGAGACCTGGTTTCCATGGACAAAGAGATATTTTTTGTTAAATACACTGTCTTTTCAGGACGTAGAGAATCATGGGTCTCCACACATTCTTTTTTCATTAATTTCCGTGAATTACCATGCCATCTTGAGAAAGTTACAAGTGTGGTTTCCCGTTGCCTTCCCACGGTGTGAAATTCAGAGTTGCCACGCATTCTACATTTATATTTTTCCAAAAGAAATTGTGTGAAAGTGAACGCAACAGCATCCACAGAAATTTCAACTCGGCTCATCGGTTTGGCGCTATAGGAATAAAAAGAATCTCTCTCTCTCTCTCTCTCTCTCTGTATATATATATATATATATATATATATATATATATATATATATATATATATATATATATATAAAATATGAAAGGCTCAAATACTAATATTCCATGGTTATAATTTATTACATTGGAATTGTAATCACGATCCAATTCATCAGACCTACAAAGTCTAGAAGACTATATATTAGAATATATATTAGTATATTACATATATTATATTAGAATATATATTAGTATATTACATATATATTACATATTATATATTATATTAGAATATATATTAGTATATTATATATATATATATATATTAGAATATATAGTATATTACATATATTATATTAGAATATATATTAGTATATTAAATATATTATATTAGTATATTACATATATTATATTAGAATATATATTAGTATATTATATATATATTACATATTATATATTATATTAGAATATATATTAGTATATATATATATATATATATATATATATATATATATATATATATATATATATATATTAGAATATATAGTATATTACATATATTATATATATATTAGAATATATAGTATATTACATATATTATATATATATTAGAATATATATTAGTATTTTACAACAAAAACATGTAAGAATCGCTACACAATTGCAGTCGTCTTTCAACGCATAACGATGCATTTCTTCAGGCGATTGTAAATTACTGCCGAATGAACGATTAATTTGGTTTCAAAAACAAAATAGATCCCCATTTTTCGAAAATATATACATAAGGCTTGAGGGCTTTACCCTGGTCAACCAATCGAATGTGACCAAAGTTAAATTCAAATTCAGCGAAAACGAAAAAAAAAAAACAAAAAAAAAAAAACAAAACAAAATAATATCTTAGAAAAGTGTCATGGCCAAAAGTTGACATCTAACAGCAGCCAGACATTAACTTAAAGACAGATACAAATAGTTACAATAAATTTACAAATGCATGCCAGACAATCAACTTTCATAAGAAATAAAAGCGGGGATGGGGGAAGAGAGGTAATTTAACCGAATGCCCAACTAACTATAAGCTTTGTGGATTTCCTACATAAAAATTTTTGTAGTTGATAAATAAGTAGCGTCTTTAAGAAACTAGTAAATGATCTAAATGTATGGAAATATATTGCTCTACTATGTATTGTTCTCTTTTAAATTAAATGTTACGAACGTTGGAAGTGTACTCTATTCGTTCTCATTGTACCTGGATATCTCTCTCTCTCTCTCTCTCTCTCTCTCTCTCTCTCTATATATATATATATATATATATATATATATATAACGGGTGTAACAGCAAAATTGTCCAAATCGTGTAACACCATGGGATACACCATCGCACAAAATAATGTTTAATATCTAAAAACC